ACATGAGATTTTCCGTTTTTATTTCGTTCAAGGTCCATTTCCCGAAAAAGATGTTTGGGTAAATTAAATGGGTGTAACTCTCTACACAAAAACACAAAAGACCTCATTCAGCTTATTTGTTCATGTGCCTACCATTCGTTTATTAATATTTACTCATGAAATGATTCGTATACTTGCAACAAAGAGCTGACGGGAGATTTTTTTGCCAGTTTCTTTCCCGTAACCGCTCTTTGTTACCCTTTTTCAAAGATTTCATTGTTTGAAGGATCTCGGAATTGATCCTCGTGGCGAATAAAAGGGACTCATGAAGGTCTCTAAACAGCACATCAATTCGCTATGCTTCTTCTAGTTACCCTTCTCAGCCTTGTAGCTGTTTCAATGGTATGTTACTAGATAGACAACTTCAGCTAACTTGAAATTTCTTTTAGAACTCAAGATTTCCGCTTAGACATTTAATTAATTGAAATTGAAGACTTCGCCGTCTCCATCGGGCTCTAGCGGTTCTAGCGATTCCCCTGTCACTGCGGGGACTTCTCATGGAAAAAAGCTCACAGCCGACGAAGCAAACGTTGTCATTGAGACCAAATTAAAATTCAACCCAGGATTGAATACATTCTTCATGGATGCTTTCAGAGAAGCGGTAAGTTGTGCTCTAACAACAGGATGCAGGGCAGCTGTTTGTTTCTCCTTCGCAGATCATTCAGTACTGGATAGTAATTTAGGTTAAGCACTATGCGCATGCAAACGGAGTTGAGTACAGCGATGCCGTGGTTCAGGAGAGAACACATCAGCTCGGTGATAAACTCGCTATGGAATACTTTGTTCGTGGTGTTGACTGTGAACAGGTACGCCTTTTCACATTTACGAATCCGATCATTTTCACGACTGCAGACAAGTCTGCGTGCTTTACAAAGGTCTCAAGGCAGCACCCATGATAAGGAAGCAGTCAGCTACAAGAATAATCTTACTTAGTTTGATCCCTTGAACCAGAAAAGCTAACCTTTTACGGAAAGCTCGTCCATCGTCCGTCCGAAGACCCTATGTTGGTTTGAAGGGAACAGTAGATGGGCTTGACAGGTTTTCAACACTTCCATAAACTGACTATTTTCCCTTGTCAGGTGAACACCTTCAGGAGCTAGTCCAAATTTCTTTCTCACGATCCCTACCTAGATTGCGTGTTTTCGTTGTGCTACCAGGGAGTAGTGTGCACAAGTTTCAAAGTAACTTTGATTATAACTTTACCCTGTCCTCCTTCCAAAGTGCCGTGGAAACTTCTATCTCCCATGTATTATAATATTCATTGCAGCTTGGCAAGTTCCTATCGGCAGGAAAATTGATGACCAACCATCTCGTTAAAAACGTTATTTCAATCTGCAACGGCAGGCCGATGCCTCTGTAGAACTCAATGGAATTGTGCAACTAAAATAAATTTCACAAACAATTTCGATGTGTTTGGCTGAATTTGTAAAAGAATCGCTGNTGCTACCAGGGAGTAGTGTGCACAAGTTTCAAAGTAACTTTGATTATAACTTTACCCTGTCCTCCTTCCAAAGTGCCGTGGAAACTTCTATCTCCCATGTATTATAATATTCATTGCAGCTTGGCAAGTTCCTATCGGCAGGAAAATTGATGACCAACCATCTCGTTAAAAACGTTATTTCAATCTGCAACGGCAGGCCGATGCCTCTGTAGAACTCAATGGAATTGTGCAACTAAAATAAATTTCACAAACAATTTCGATGTGTTTGGCTGAATTTGTAAAAGAATCGCTGAGAAAGGAGCTGTTAGAAAGCTGCCCATCGAACAATAGCGTCAGGTGGCGCCATGCACTCGTCCTCACTCGTCCGTGCTACGAAGCTCAGCCGAAAAGAGTGGTAGAGTGGTAGCCACGGTCTTGTCCCAGTGCCGCCTCGCAGAATTCTTTGCGACATAAAAGAAGGTAGCATATAGCAATGGGAGCTGTGGCATACTTCTTATTCAGACGTAGGGTGTACACTGCCAAGTGACTCCACCAGCACATATATAAACCGACAATGGACTTCATACCTGCCTATATCCAAACATTGCTATCTGGCCAGTCTAACGAGGCTTTTCAACTTGCGAAATCAGCAAGTTGGTATTGCTCTACTCTGGGAAAATAGAAGCACTAGTTCATAAGGAATACAACTCGTATTGGATCTCTACAAGCCAGAGAATGTACAGGGTAAGATGCATGCAAGTGTGTGTGGTATGTTTCAGAGTACAGCGTCAAGCGCCAAACGTTGACCTCTTGTGTCAATCAGTGGTGCTCAGCACTGTCCACGGCTTGGAACATAACGCAGTCCTACGCAAGCGAGTCAGCGACAGGACGTGCCCTAAGAGCGCCACTGGCTGAAATACATCGAGCGACGGCGCTTGACGCTCGACGCGATAAAAATGTTGTTTAGAAGGGGACACCCTACTCTGTAACACTAGGCGCTCGAGTGCAGAGAAGGAGTGGAAGCCGATTCAACGGGCCTGTTATGGTACTTGGGAACGTTTACTAGCCAGGGTAGCATAATATTTGACTAAGCCTATAGAGGAGAGGAGCACCGGTTTTGGTGATATGACTAGACAATTCAAACAGCTGAGATGAGGGAAGAATTTAGCAATCATTCGATCACTGATTCATTTCTTTTGTAAAATGTAAGCGACAGCATTATGGCATTCCCTGCTTTCCTGCTTAGAGAGAATCATTACGGGTTCACAAAAACATCAGCTCCTGTTTCTCTGCTATATAGTGTCTGCAGTTAGAGAGAATGAGTAACCTCCACCTCCCTTTCTCTAACGCTAGACACTCTCAACGCTCTCGGCTTGGCGCTGTACTATGAAAGCGCCCACCAGAAGTGCACAGGCGCATCCCAAAAGGCAAAAAACAACATAAAAATTTATCCTTATATCCGTTACACCGTCATGTTTAGAATGGCTAGGTTCAATAAATAACAAGCGATTGGCACCTATGGGGACTTTATGATACCAAAAGAATAGTTTCTCTGGTCATTCTGAAAATTATCTCATCTAATCGATCACAAAACGCCCCTCAAAAAGGTAGTTATCACAATAAAAGAGACAATAAACAATAAAACCCAAGTCTAGTCTGACAACAGTAATCCAAATGATCCGAAATTATATTCAGAATCCTTCTTAGGATATCAAACATACGAGCATGGGAAGTTAAGCCTTCACAAGTCTAACCATGAAGGTAACAACATTTGGCGACAATGAGTACGGCTCGAAGCTCTCGAGAAATATTCAGGAGAAGTTGAGAAGAAAAAATGAATTGACAAAAATCAATGGCATCTTTCTAATGAACTATGTACATGAATAGCCTTGAGAAATGTCAGCGTTGTGTGAATGGAAGAGTAACCATAACTCCAGCTGTTTTCTGAAAATATAAGCCATTTTTTAAAGAAGAATAGAGCTCTCTGTTCATCTCAAAATCTGACATTCTTCAAGCACCCTAAGCCTGCTAACGAAATTCCTACCTTGAATCGATCGCTATGTGATGCAATTCGTTCTACCCATGTGAGCAATGTGCGTGTTATAGTTGCATACGATGAAAAATCCACTTGTTCAACGAATGAAGAGAAGCAATCATCAAGCAAGATTTGTAACTGAAAAAAAAAAGCTTGTTGACCTCTGTAATAACAGAAACTGAAGCAAAACTCATACTCAAAAATACAGTAACGATCAAACCACCATTCGAGTTTGCAGGGAAGTTGTAGTAGTTGAAGGAGCTTCAGCAGCCATAGCTTCATACTGACAAGCAATCATCTCCAATGCAGAAATCTACAACAGTTACATAATTCTCAGACCATTCTTCAACTTTAACTGTACAGCACATATTTGTCTAACTGCGTTTCGTATTACCAAAGGAGCCCACCACCCTAAAATATTAACAAACTATCAACTCTAGTAAGAATACTCAAACTGCAGCCTTGTAATACAACTGATTATCAAACCTGAGCATTGAGTTGTTGTATATCCTTCTCATTCGCCTTAACCTCGGACGTTAACTGATGCATATAGTCACAAGCCCTTCAAGAGGTTTTATTAAACAAGATTAAACTGAAAAGAGCTCATAAACTAAGAACAACGATATCTGAGAAAAATGAACGCTTTGAAGCTCAGCTCACCTGAATAGTATAGCCGCATTCGTGGTCTTGCACCCCATAGCCGAAGCTGTTTGTGGGACCAGTTCCTTCAGATCGGAATAACCACTCTAAAAAAGGAGGAAGTCAGGAGCAGTAGGATAGCACAGAAAAAGTTGTTTGCCTTTTGCGCCTTCCACTTATGCCGCATTCCATTGAAAAGTTAAAAGTTCGTTTACACAACTCTTAGTATCCTCTTAAACAAACATTAGGAGTTCAACGAAGACACAGACGAGTATAATCGGATTGCCTTCTGCTGTTTTCCTCTCACATTGAATCGTAAACTTGCACTTGTTCTATCTCTTATTTCATGTCATGAATCCAAAATAAAAGCGACAAAATGATAAAATTTACTGTGTTGAACGACACCGTCTTTGGGGTGGGCACCGTCTACTTCTTCCATATGGAACACTAGTGCTGTTTAATGCATGAAGAGCATCCACTCTGACCTTTTGTAGGAAATATTTTGATCGCCCGATATCCGCCACATCAACTGTATCACTCTATATGGATCCTAGGCCTTCTTAGCGTGGGTGGGTATCGGTTCGGGATTTGATTTGTGGATTTGCCCCGACCCGTGGGTATACATTTTACATCCTTTGAGCTCCTTACCCTTAGATTTCATGTTCGTTTCTCCCTCAATCGCTGGGTGTCCCTCTACTGTCACTGGAGGTGTAGCTCCGTAGTCACAAGCCCCTTGGGATCTATCCATTGCACTCCACCTCTTAAAAATCATTTCCTTATTGGCAAAATTCTCAGGTAACAGAAAACCATTGACATGGGCGCTGTTCAGCCTCGAATTGGCAAGGCATTGTTCAGCATGAGTTGTCACGGCTTAGGCCCAACAATGACTATTATTTCAACGCAATTCTAAATAGAAGTTGCATGCATGGCGCATTTCATGAGGATGAAGCGTTACAGTCCCTTCTTCAGAAGACTTGTAAATGAAAAGGATGAAAGCATCAAAATGGCAACTTTCTCTAGCTTTATCTTAACCAGCAAGAGAAAAAACTTGGCAACTTTCCTGATCAAGGAAATCTGAAGAGAAAAAACTTTCAAAACCCACATTGATAGCTTCCCGTCGCTGTCGTTCACAACGTAGATGTGTTTGCTTCTTTTTATCCGAATAAACAGATGAATCTGAACCAGTCGGACTCATTTCGGACACATCTCCTTGGGTTGTAGAAGCACGTCGACGACCACCCATTTTCTTTACACTGTACGACATTCCCAGACGAATAGATTGTCACGTAATGCGTCAGAAACACTTGAAAACACGCAAATGTCCACAATATATTAGAATATCATTTTGAATTCAGTGAATACCACGGGAAGGTAGTTTTTAGACGTTTAACGATTGACTCCAGTGAAAAGCCATACATGAAAGTGAAATCACGTGACGCCCACGTGAACGTAATATTGCGGACATTAACGAATTACGCAAAGTCGCACAATGTCCGCGCAGGAGCCGTTTTGTTTCAGCGGACATGGCCATTAACCTCTGAGGTGGCAGAATGTCTTCAAATCGCTTAGTTTCGCTTGAACTAGTGCCGTATCTAGGACCCCGGGTGCTCTAGCGCCCCGATCTTAGCGTCTTCACCACTAAACGCTCAGCGAACTCAAGACTTACTAGAATTGCGAAAAGTCTTCATAGTGTTCTTGCCATTGTTTTCCTCTAATGCAATTTAGTTTTGTTGTTGAGTAGATTTTACCAGGAATAAAACAAAATTCTCATTTTGGGACACAAATCCGGCTACTATGGAGTATATCACTTCTGAGCTGCTCTTGGAACCTTTTTCATTAGATTTTTCCGAATTTTCACTGGTCTCCTCTTTGCCGTGGTTTCTTTTATCCAGCTTCTTTCGATTTTTATTGTAAAATTTAGTTTTCGATGTCAAATATCGCGTTTACTCGAATCCAACGGGAATGCAAAGAAGTGGTCACCAATAAGGAGATCGCTGAGACGGGTATTATGATCGAAATTCTAAACGATTCCTTGTCGGAGATCAAAGGACAAATACGAGGACCGCCTGATACTCCTTATCAAGGAGGCTCATTTGATTTGGAAATCAAAATCCCTGATTCCTACCCTTTCACTCCTCCAAAGGTATTAATTTTAGTATTTTTTCGTAAAGATTTTTATCATACATCGGCACCCTTTGATCCTTGTTATCGTCGAGCAATTCATTGTTTTGCTTGAACAGTCTACCATTAGATACTTTCCAAAAGAAAAGTAACGGGATATTCAAGCAATAACAAATTGATCAATTGTGTTGAGTAGGTAAAACATGGAAGCGTCTTTTGCTAGTTTTTCGAACAGTTTCAAAGTATCTGCTATAGAATTTTGCTCGCAGTTACCGCTACTGAAAATTGTGAAAATATTTTTTTTCTTGCCAAAGTTTTTTCACAAATATATCCTTTCAGATCAAGTTCCTTACCAAGATATGGCATCCCAACATCAGTTCTCAAACCGGCACAATTTGCCTGGACATTCTGAAGGATCAATGGTGATTAGCTTGTTATCTTTGGTTAACGCTGTTTAAAGTAGCTTTGCGGTTTGTGCTGCGTTGGCGTACACTTCAGCGAAGTTTTATTCGCTGAAAAAACCCATCGTCTGAGTGGTAATTTGCACGTTTTTGAATAACTTTTATGAAAGGACAATAGAAGGAAAGGTTGTTAGACTAGTGACTGCATTTGGGTTACTTATCGATCGAAGAGCTTGTTAATTTTTTAGCAGGGGACTACCTGCGCCACGTATACGGGAAACTGTGAAGTAGTTATATTATACCCGGTGCGGTCTACTACGAAATGTCTAGTTCCCATCTGCCGTAGATCTATCTTTCATTCCCTTGTGAAGCGTCTATATTAAGATGCCCACGAATCTCGAACATAGTGGATTCGATTCTATGTCCACTATGCTATTTCATACTGGGTGTTCATGCCGTATGGGGTCCGAATTACACAGAAACATAAATTTTTGTTCTAATCAGGTGACCCAGGGATGCAGTCATAAGCATGTATCTTTTTTAGTTTGTTAAGTGGTAGTCTCCTCATACTTGACCGCTACATGGATTTCTGCTCAGTTTGTTAGCAGTTCTCGAACAAATCGTATTAAAACCCTCACAGATGTTCATTTCTTGTCATACTATGCATACTATGGCTCAATTCTGGTTTTTAGGGCAGCATCACTAACACTACGAACAGTACTTTTGAGCATACAAGCGCTCATGTGTTCCCCTGAGCCGAAAGACCCTCAGGATGCTGTCGTAGCAAAGCAGTACATGTCAAATCCGGGTCTTTTCAAGGTAACCCGTTTTTCATTCACGTTTATTACGTTTTCTTGATCACTATTATGGTAGCTTAGATTTCTCTTTATTTGCAAAAATTAAATTACAAATGTTTGCATTTTTTTTTACTATAATTAGGGACCTTGTTTGGGGTATATGGAATTTTAGTGGGGACGGTATTATATAAGCATAGCTTACTGCTTGCTAGGCTTCGATTTGCAAACAAATAGATGTAGTGAATGTGTCAAATATTACTCTCCCGTTAAATTTTCTGAAACCAGGTTTTCCTTCTAGTTACTCACTTTCAAAGTCTGCAGCTTAAATGCGTATATTGAAAGCATTGGGATAACTTTCATGTCATCTTTACGTATTGGAGTGCTGTATGAGAATATGGAAATGTGATTCTCTTGCACTTTTGGCGAAACGTTTTAGAAATCATTTGTCTTGCTTCTGTGATCATGATGTTCTTTGCTCTGGAATCGGTATTTCCGACTTCACCCAAGTAAACAAAGTTATTGCTACGGTCCGGTTTCACATAGCCTGTGCATTCAAGAGCGGGATTAGGTAGAATTGAGTGAGGAGAGATGTGTGTCTGCAAGGGAGATTGGTTAATATCAGTTGTTCCTTTCCGTGTCGGCTGCTTTACGGCTTCACAATTTCGTCCCAGTTTGTCCATGCCTACAATTCTGCTCTTGGGTTTGTAATACTTCCCAACGGCTGTTGTTAACATTGTATCATTTTCCAGAATGTCTTCACCTGTTTTGTGGGGGTTTGTTTGAGAGGCACTGGTTTTTGTTTTGTTTGTATAAGGCGCTTTGTTTGATTGTTTGTGAAAAAAAAAATGCAGGTCATAGTTCTCTTAGATTTTTACCATGTGAGAAGAAAGGGTATTGAGTAACTGTATGGTCTTCTGACTAGCAGATACCGAAGCATTGTCTAATATGCATTAAAATTACGTTATTGAGCGTTTTTGGCACACACAACCTGGCCGTTAAGGACTTACACTTTGGGCGCGTGTGGAATTAGAAGCAATTATCAAGAATCGCTCAGACTCTCCTCTTCCCTATCAATCACTCTTCTTTGTCCTAAATTCATTTAACAAGGTCAGCTGACGCTAGTTTTGGTATTCTTATTTGCACATAATCAC